GCTTGCACAAAAATCGGTTGGAAAAAAAAATAATAATAATAGGGAAAAAGAAACCGAAGAATAACAAGAAGGTCTTCCGTTAGAGACGGAAGACCTTAATAATAATAAAAGTGAAAAAGAAACCGAAGAATAATAGAAGGGTCTTCCGCTGAAGACGGAAGACCCTAATAATAAAAGTGAAAAAGAAACAATAGAATAATAGAAGGGATTCCGTTGGAGACGGAAGACCCTAATAATAAATAATAAAGGTAAAAAAGAAACCGAAGAATAATAGAAGGGTCTTCCGCTGAAGACGGAAGACCCTAATAATAAAGGTAAAAAAGAAACCGAAGAATAATAGAAGGGTCTTCCGCTGAAGACGGAAGACCCTAATAAAATTGAAAAAGAAACATAAGAATAATAGAAGGGTCTTCCGCTGAAGACGGAAGACCCTAATAATAAGAAACAGAGTAAAAACAATATGTTCCCCAACTTCGTTTGGGGAACATAATTATTGTCTTCAGCAACCTTTTAAGAAAATACGGAAAAATGCACATATTTATGAACTCACAGTTAGCATTTAAAAACACATGTAAAAAAAATGGTTTGTATGATTTTTCTGCATTGAATTTCAATAATGTAAAAAGCATGCCTTTTTTAAATTTTACACCAGTTTCATTTTTTAGAAAATCACAGGGCAAAATTTGTATGGAAACCATACCTTCTTCTTTGACAATATGGCAGAGAAACAAAAAACAATTAGTACTGCTAATTCACTACCAAACACTAAATGTCTACAGTGTAACGTGTTTTTGAAGTTTATCAACAGTTATAAAGAAAGAAATCCGGGTCACTATGAAATGCATCCGGTCTATCGGCTGTACTCTGGTGAAGTTCAACTTACATAATTGAACGAATTAATTATCGCTAATTTATTACGACCATCATACAAACAATAATGTCTTTACATCAGTCTTGTGTTAAATATTACCATTTCAACACGTTTCATCGGAGGAGTTAATAGTTAATAAAAATTCTGCAAGTTTTGATGATGCAGGTAGTGAAATTTTTTTAATATATCAATTGTAAATAAAAAAAAATCATGTCACTTTAAAATCTAGGCATATTTAGGTGATAGACATTTGATACACAACATGTGTTATAATATCAAACAATAAAGTAAATTACAGTCGCAATATGGTAGATAATTATGAAAAACTGACACATTTCAGCTTCACTATCCCTTCGTACTGTTCGATCAACAAAATATCCCAAGTCTGTCTAGTTATACAATATTTGTCTGCATGTCAACAAAGCACATTATGTATTACATTATTATTTTTTTTCGAAAATATGCCTATCCTACACTTTTAAGGAAATGACGCAATCTATGAGTTGACAAAGAACAAGGACCAGGAACTCCGGGTTGAGCTACAAAGATTTAATGGTGACAAAGCATTCGCTCAGTACTCTACATTTTATGTCGGGGACGAAGCCAGTAAATACAAACTCACTGTATCAGGGTATTCAGGAACAGCAGGTAGGTGTTCTCATAACGCTGATGCAATATATATTGTTCAGTCATCACAAGGTCGAGGGATTGAAATTTCAGTTTGTAATTTCAATTAGATTGTTTTGACTGGATAGAAAATTAAGTTTAAATAATGTAAAATTTAATGTTTACGGCACAATTTGACTTACATTAAAAGAGTTTGCTTGACGTTACATGTTTATTTAATATGCATATTGTGAGACATTTTTGAATGGATATTATCATAATATTTACACTTGAACGATAGTAAATTATATTAGGAGAAATAAATTAAGTAGCTAATTATACTTGTAAAATATGGATTGAAACATTTAATCTCCAACAAAAAATATTCAGTGAGTTCCCAACCTATGTTATATAGTATAACGTAGGTAAAATTCCTTGAACATTCAGTATTGCGATGCTAATAAACCAAATATGCATGAGGACTCATTTCGGTATGATTACCTTTATAATCATTATTAAGTATTCAAACTTTCTTGAATGAATGTGGTCATTTTTCAAAATAAGTTTACTTTTTTCTCTCTCTCCTATCATCTCGAATTTTATTTGTACATTTAAGTTCTTTTTCCTTTCTATAACTACGATGTATACAATGTATGTAGTAGACCATATGTTTAAATGTTGTGTTTTTTACTTTGGCAATTTTACAAAATATAGTATTAGGAGAGGACTATTTAAGATACTGACTTTGTGTCCGATCCTTTTGAGCTTGTCCATTAATATGTTCAATTCAATTTAATCATTAATTTTACAATCTTGAAGCAAAATGACGAAACAAAAAATATATTTACTTAAAACTACCTGTGATATCATCAACATTGAAAATACATTCGTAGAAATACATGATTTCACGTTTATACACATTTAAATTATATTTAAGAATGCCTTTGATACTAGTTTTACTTTAGAATGTATAATATGCTATAAAAAATAATATATTACACTGACATTTGTGTGTTATTAATACATTATAATCTTCAGTTTTCTTTAGTCAAAGACAATAGTGATTACGGGGAAGGTTACGATGTTATGATTATTTTATCATTGAATTATCAATTAAAACAGTATCTATACTCTGTTGTACATAGGTGACAGTTTAGCTATTCACAATGGAATGAAATTTAGCACCAAAGACCAGGATAACGACGGGAATATTAAGTGTGCTGTAACATTCCACGGAGCCTGGTGGTACATAAACTGTCACTACTCAAACCTAAACGGACTGTACGGACACTCTGGTGCGTCTGGTGGTCAATACGCGACATGGTATCTCTGGAAAAATAAATATGAAGCATTAAAGCAGACCATGATGATGATCAGACACAAAAACTAGAGATCATTTATAATCAGATCTGAGATATCATTACAAATCTGATATTTTATTTTTGTCAAACAAACAAAAACTTTCTGTTATTTTCGTATCAAGTACAGATTTTTAGACAATTACAGTAAGTTCCTTCTTCTTCAGTATTTCTACCACTAAATTAATTTTTAAACAATCCTGTTTTCTTCCTATGAACGCATAAATGTTGTTTATAAAAAAAAGTTGGCAGTTATAAGCAATAAAGAAACCTCGGCAAGAAAATGTGTGTAATTTATTTTTACACTTCATATTTGCATAGAAAAATGTCTTTAAACGTACTATTCATAGTGGATATATATAGCATAAAATTTCAGTGGATGAAAAATTAAATGAACAACATATGTACATGATGTATGACAAATAAATAGGCTTACAATTTGAGTTGATTTATTTTATAAATGTTATATAAATAAGCATAAAGACAGACGGTGTAATGTTAACTTTAAGGTGATTATAATAAGCCTGGACTGTGTTTCACAGAACTGTCCTGTAGGGTCTGTCCTGAGATTTTTAAACATTAATGGCATTCAGAACATCTGTCACGGCATTCAGACAACTATCTCTGTTAATAAATCTCAAGACAAGTCTTAAAAAAGACATTTTTCATGCAACAATATTATAGACAATTTTGAACGCAAAGAAATTATGGTTTATATTGTTTCCATAGGACTTTTATTAAGCTTTGACAGAAAATCTTAACTCACTCCTTACAGTGTATCATGGTGACAGGGTTTGGAGAGGGGGCTTGTGATCATTAATCCTGAATTAATGTCTAAATAAATTTCATTGAAGAAACTGAGAGATACAATAAGATATCGAATAAATAATAAATGCTTTTATTAAGAATATAAAAATGAATTTCTAAAAAGTATTTATAGATCTAATGCAATACAACTATTAGTTTGTATTTGATGAACGGCATGCATGGTATTTGAGTTTTCTAGTACAAAAATATAAAACAAATGTTATTTATATGAATAGAGTTGTGATCACATTCAAAATTTAAATGTTGTAAAAAACAGTCCTATCTAACAAGAAGAAAAGCGAACAAAAAATTGTCATAATTTCGCAATTTCTATTGCTTAGATAAGGAAGCAAGTGGCATCAGAAATTACTATGATAACATCAGACGGGGTTGAGGGAGGGGGGGGGGTGGATAAGAAGAAAATCTACACACCTGAGCAGCTTGAGCATGGAAAGCATTTTAAATGATATTTAGAAGCCGAAGAAGACAGTAAAGGGTACTTATTACTAAGTGTCAACTAATGATTAGGTGTATTGAGTTTTATGCACTTGGACATGCGCAGATCCAGGACTTTTTTCGAGGTGGGGTGGAACATACCAACATTACTTTTTAGAATTTTAGTTTAGAATATTTGTTTACGCTTGATCACTTATTTGTCTAGATTGGAGTACTGCATAAAATTCATTTAGGTATGAGATGTTTTTCTCTACCACAAAACCCTACACTCTCCTCCTCGCTTATTGCCCACGATTAATTGCATTATTCAATGAAATATCTTTATAGTAAAACGTAAAATGTTTTTTTTAAGTGTTAGATCTAGATATCTAGTATTGTATCTTCCATTTAGTGATAAGCACTCATTTTTTTCTATAACTCATCAAGCAAGAACATTTTGATTATTAAAATAGGTTAATATTTTCATATGAGACGAAAAGATAACATTGTTTTCTGAGAGCGCATCAAGCATCAAATAAATTCTTAAACAATAAAAAACACTTATTATATCTTTTGATGATTAAGTACATCATTTTATGAAATTAGATTCCGGATAAAAGTTTTAACTCTAGGCAAAAAAGATAACATTGGTTTTTTGAAAGCTTGTCAAGTATCACTTAATATTTCAATGTAAAACACTGCATTTTTAAAGCTGTGTGAGTTGATAAGATTGCAAAAAAAAAAAAACTTTGTTACACATCATATAAAAGACTCGCTTAAACATCAGAATCATTGCAAAGATGGCCGTTCTACAAGTAAAATGTCTAAATTCCTGTATGGAACATTTGGTGATTTATCTTTAATTGAAAACGAAGCTTCTGATAAAAATGGTTTGCTCCCTAGTACCATATCCAGTAAGGCTTCCAATGTCCTACGTGACATTCTGAATCAGGAAAGTCTGGTCCGCTTCTCTATGGTGCAAAAAATACAAAGTCTAGTTATGGATGCTACGGACAGCAAAAACGAAATACAAGTTATTAAGGTGAAACTTAGTGAAATAGCAAAGGACTTACGGAACTTGAAAAGGAAAAACCAAATATTGGAGGAAGAAAATATTGAACTGAAAGAGAAATGAAATTCAAGATGGTTAGCAGAACGGTGAATGTCAATAAAAACTTTACAATGGAAGAAATGCAATATATTGACCAGTTGATTGAAAGCAAAACTTTAGCTCTTCAGGATTTTGAGAGCACGCTAGATTTGTTAAATAAGTCAACAAAGAAGACAGAAAGTGACTTGAGAACAGACATACAGACATTGAAGATGACCGACCAGAGTACAATGAAGAAAATAAAAGCACTAAATAAATCGCAATTACTTTCCCCTATTTGTCCATAAATTGAAATGCTCAAATATCAAGTGAATGCAATGAATGTAACATTACAGAAATGCACTGTAAACAGTTTTTTTAACGTGTTAAAAAGACAGAGTACGCGTTAGAAAATTTCACCATTTCTGTAAATGATACTCTACACACTGTTTGTGGGGATCCGAATGAATCCAGCAGGATCTTGTCAAAAGGTATAATATTTCATTTTATTTCAAGTTTAAAATATAAAACTTATATAAAAACAATAATTGGAAGAAACCTTAGTAAAGGGAATCTTTTCTAGAATAAGCTCGTAAAGTCTCTTTAATAAATATAGATATGATTTTGTTAAGAAATCTTTTATGCAATGCTACAAGTGATAAGCTGGGATAATTGTTTTTTGCATTATTTTATTTTACGTCAATATTAACACATAATGTAATAACGCAAAATGTTAAAACAAACTTTATAGAATTATTACATTTTGAGTCGAAATCAACGCAAAATGAAACAAGACGATTTATATATTATTGCATTTTGAGTTGTTATATTTTATGTCGAGATTAAGCAGACCTCAAGAACGCAAAATGTGATAAAAGACTCTTTGGTCAGTGAAGTTGAGAACAAATTTCAATTGATTAGTGAATGTAGAAATTAAGCGGAAAGAAAAAAAAAACAAAAGGCCGTATACAAAATTAAATGCCTATTGTGGTTTAAGTTTGCAGGTAAAGATACAATGTGAATTTAGTTTACGCAATATTTATTTCAAAAAAGGATTTGATAGCAGAAAAAATCCAAGTTAGATCCTCTCCCCACAAAGACAGTCAATTACCTGAGTATTGTCTGATAAATAGTGAAGTGTACAAACGTCCTCAATATTTTTATGCGGCAATTTTATTTTCTCTCACATAGTGTTTCTGAGGGATTGTGGAGAAATTTTAAAGACGTTCCCTAGTTTAAAAGGGCGAGATGGTGTATACAGAATATCCGTAGGTTCTGAGGTCAAGTCTGTTTACTGTGACATGAGTACAGATGGAGGAGGGTGGACGGTGAGTAAAACTTGTTATAAATTAAAACTAGAGCTACTGTGAGCAATAAGCTAACTAAATGATACCCCCGCAACCAATATGAATATAATGGCAGTGTCCATATTTTGCTATGGGAAACCCAAAATATGGTCGGATCAAAAAGTAAAATAAAAGGTCACATTGGCAATATGTAATTAAGATTCCGTAAGAGTTTCATCAAATTTCATTCAGTGGTATGAGAGGAGTTTCGGATGAGAAATGGGTATCCCAAAGCGTAACAGACGGACGGTCGGACAGACATACCGATTACTACTGTAACAATGTATATACCCTTCCGCTTTTCAAGCGGAGGTATAAATATACAGAATTTTATGATCTGTGTTTTAAGAAAAATTAAACTATTTTAAAAGAATTTTTCTTTTACAAAATATAGAATCTGTATGTGTTTGTCAAGATCCTATAAATAATTACGGGAACAAATTTTGAATTATTCTTGTTTGCCTAATTCAAAACGAGTAATTAGTTAATTTATGTGTTAAAGGCAATACAAAGAAGACATGACGGGTTTACAGATTTTTACCTGACTTGGCGAGAATATAAACAACTCAAAGTTTTGGAGATCCCTCTAAAAACTACTGGATTGGTAAGTTAGGTTTATGTATCATTTACTTCTTCCTTTTCTAACAAACAATTCTTATTATCTCTGATTATAGCTGCATGATAATGAGTTTATAACACATGCATTTACTTTATCATCATTTTCTTTATATCTGGAGGATTTTCTAAGTATTAGGCCAGATAAAATTAATCTTTGGATTCTCATACAAATTTGCTAAAAGATAGGGGCGGGTGGGTGTATTTTATTTTCTATTTTTTATAATTGAAAATATCAAGAAAACATGGACTTTTCATACACAATTTTTCCTTATGTTAATGCCTATATGAATAGATTTAAATGACGTCTCATAGGTCTTTCCCCCAAATACTTTTTGGTTTCGCCAACAAATCTTTCTGTTTAAAAATTTGTGTAAAATATCACAGATTTCCACATTTCTCAAAAAATCGATTGTTCTTGGCGAAAAGCCTAGGCTTGAACAGTTTAATATTTAACATTTTAATAACACTATTATTCTCTAAATTCTGCCAACAATGTTTTACTTCTTTTATATTTCTTTTATACAAAAACACATACAGTGGAGATCGTTAAAAATTGACCAGGTGCATTTCCCTCATCAATTTTTACCTGGTACCTGGTAGTTTAAAGTCTCTTCAAAAACTTGCTTATCAAGATGTGTTTTTGCTGTTTTTTCTTCTCTGCCTTCTCTATGCTGACACATTATATTTTCTTTTCCTATCGAAACTGCTTTTATTGCCGATTTTTCTCCATTCTTCACATGACTTTTTTGCTATAAACAGCGACACGCGACTTTTGATACAAACGGGAGATAACTCTTAAACTTTGATATAAATTCTTACTCATTAAAAAGACATAAAAATATACTTTTAACACTCAAAAATCAAAATAAAAAACACCGGGGCGGGACACTTTGAGAGGGGCGGGCGGGGATGAGAATCTAAAGATTAATTTTATCTGGCCTTAAAATATCACCTAGTATAAAATCAAACTAGAACGACTTATAATCCCCGATCAGAATAAAGCTAACACGATAGGATATAAGAGAAACCTATTTCATGGAAAGTGTGAAATACAAAAACCATTGGAAAGAAGCATAAATAACTGTTAAGGTTGAGCAAATACCTTACAAATAACTTACAAACATACCTGAAATTTAGCTGTAGAACTGTAGCTTTACGGAAAAAAATATTTTGACTATCATCTCAAAATATTACTGACTGTATATTCGTAATATATAGTTTCACTGTTTCCACAAGACAACATTTCTTATGTAACGCCCGAGCAATTATCATATTTAATTCATTAAACCATTACTTATTGCAGGTAGCAATAATATGTAAAATATAAGTAAACGCTCAATGCATAATCCAAATATTTAATCGCCCCAGCGACTTACTCTCCCCTTGGAAATCAAAAGTCAGTATCGGTTTAAATTTCATTTACACATAATCACAGTTAAAAATCATCTAAAATCAATACAATTAAACACTGTATAACTAATCCTGGAACAATATTTGAGCGAAGTATATCCCAGCAGAACTACATGTATATCAAAACTGTCCGCGTATCAAATTAGTACCTGTATATATACTAAATGACCATCACTCCTAAGGGGTGATGGGGGTATAAACAAAAGACCGTCACTCCTAATGAGTGACCGGGTATAAACAAACTATTCTAAAAATAGAACGATTGACCGGGAGTTATCTAAATACTGCGAAATATTAGATAAACAAATAAAATAATAAATTTAGAAAAAGACTGACTTAAAAATACATGAAAATTTCCCCCGTCTAAGATTTTTGACTCCGCTCAAAGATTATGTACATACAAATATACAACATTTTCAAATGCATAAATGATAATGATAAAACACGTTCAATTACAGTCAAATATTTACAAACTGTCATAATATCTACACAATGAAATAAAATGGCACAATTGTTCTTGTATCCAGAGTCATTATAAGGTAGAGTTCACGACACGCACATCACGGTGATTAAAATGGTTAGGGACTTCGGTGATTATCTCCATCGCGATGTCGGCAAAGTTCACATTCGTTGGATCCATATTTCTCGAGTGCGCGATGGTTGTGTTGCGCACAACTTCTGATGTACCATCTGGATAAACTGTCTCAGTCTTAATTAGAGTTAACGAAATCACCGTCGTCTCTGAGGTACTTCCGGTTTCGTTAGTAGTGTCCATGTCGCTATCCTCTGTCGGCACCGAGGTCTCGTCATCCTCCATGAATTCTTCGAAGTCCTCTCCCCGAAATTCGAAATCATTTTGATCCCCGCACAGAAAGTCATCAATATTTACTGCGGGATCCTCGCGCATAATGTCCTCCAGTATTGACGAACTCACAGATAGGATCTCGCGATCTTCCGGGTTAGGGTCGGTCACCATCTTTTCCAACTCTTCTTCGTCTGACGATACATTCTTGTACTCTAGTTCACCCGCTTCATCAGAAGAAATGTCACTGTACTGGTCACTAAGCACTGTTACATACACGGTTTTCTCGCTCATCATGTCAGTAGTATAAGCCGCCTAGCCGGCTGGGTCAACTGAGTGCACTTTTGGGCCTGGGGGGGATAGCCGGGTCAAGGGAGTGCAGCCCCTGGGGGATAGCTGGGTCAATATCTAGGACAGTTTTGGCCCCTGGGGGATAGGTGGGTGAAGGGAGTGCAGATTGGGGGTCTGTGGGGGATAGCCGGGTCAATTCATTACATATAACCCCTAAATATGGGGGGTGTTTACACTGTGTTTACATTATACTATACGCTGCTACTACGATTCACAACGCTGCTACTACGATTTTGGAAGCGACTCAAGAATGTCATTATGACGTCACGCTTTCATTCACAGTCTAGCCAGTCTAGCCTAACCAGTTCAAACTGGATTTTCTCAAAACAATAACAAATTACACACAAGAGAAAACAAAGAACACAGCAATTTTATTCAGAATGAAAATACATCCAATTACATTTTCTTTTTCTTCTGTGCCTCTTCGGTCATCAGGGATAGTTTCCTCTTGTGAGTAGTGCTGGGGCCTGGAATCTCTCTGTTTTCTTCCTTTTTCTCTTATTTGTCTCCTTCTTTCACTAAAGGTTTGGTCTGGTGGGTCCCTGAAATCTTAGGTTCTTGAACCTTTTTCTCCAGTTTTTGTTTTTCTTTGACGAATTGTTGATCCTCCTCATCCTCTGTACACTTATTAGCCCAATGGCCAAATTTCCCGCACTTGTAACACAAATCTTTCTTGGGGCAATCTGGGGCCCAATGCCCTAACTCTTTGCAGATGTAGCATGGATCCGTCTGTCTAGTTTTCTTTTTCTCTCCCGATTCCCCTTGTCCTTCTTTTTTCTGGTAAGTGCTTCCTCCTCCTCCTCTCATTTTGTCTTGCATGTTAGGGACTTTCACTTCTAATTTGGATAATTTGCCACGAATCAAACAAAATTCACTGGTGTTGTAAGTTTTCAGATCAGTCAGCTTGTTATCATGATCACCCACCTTCTCAGCAATATATTTCAGCTTGTTGTCATGATGTCGCACCTTCTCAGCAATATAATTCAGCTTGTTGTTAAGATCACTCACCTTGTTGTTCATATCATTCATCTTGTTGTCAAGACCAGACAGCATGTTAACAATCCCATCCAGAGTTGTATTTAAGATGCCCATATCTTCTTTATTCGCATATTCTGGAAGATTATACATGCCCAAATCTAATCCCACTGCATCCTGTGACTCTGGCATGGGGGCTCCTACATACCCTTCAGGTTTCACATAGCTGGGGTTGTCTGGAGTATTCATCATTGCTTCTGCCATAATATTTTTTCACGTCTGTCAAGTTCGAAATGCCAACCAAAACTGATCGTCAAATCCCAGCTCCCCTTTATATACCTGCTGTGGGCCGTGTGCATGTTTTACCTGCGTTTTTATACCTGTTGCATCATCTGTAAGGGCCGTGTGCAAAATATTAGGGGCCGTGTGCACGTTTTACCTGCGTTTTCTATACCTGTTGCATCACCTGTAAGGGGGCCGTGTGCAAAAATACCATATACCTACCAGACTACACAGGTAATACTTGGCCACGATTCAAGTTAAACCTTTACCTACTTTTCTACGGGGGGTATAAATGAGAACAAAAGTCTGGTCCTTTCTTCACAATCGACTATCATGTCAATCCTGATACACACTCACTCTCTGATTTTAGATGGGTATGATTGTTTAGTACGATTGGCACAAAACCACCAAGAATCTCTACCCCCGGAGGCAGAACAAGTATTTCAGGAAGCGAGCACTATCATGGAAACCCCTCAGGATTTGTGGTTACAATGCCTAGCCTTATCACATCATGCGACGACCAAGGGGAGACTAGGTACCATACATTTCCTATGTCGACATATGAAAACAATTCTGCCCCAGAAATGGTACGAACTGAACCTGACCCGTTATTTCGGAAAGCCTTACAGTTTCCTGACTCATCCCCAAGCGGCCAAAGTGATTTTACTCTGGCAGGACATAGATGCGATGGAGAAAGTATGTATTCAATACGGAATGAAATACCTGGAAATTTCACACAGGCTAGGAAATCCGTGACTTTTAATACCAGCCTCAATCAAATCTACGAATTACCCCCCGAAGACCGGAGAAGTCCCTGGATGCAATTAGTAGCGGATCGAATACGATTTCGGAGGAGAATTCGACAGTTAGAAGCATTGTTAGTTTTTAAGAAATAAAATAAAATAAAATCTTGTAATACTACATCACTGTCATGTTATTGTATGACGTCATATACACTCGGGTTTGGGTTCCCCCCTCAATTTTGCTTTGTCACTGTGGTGGGCGTGTTTACCAAAAGCGATTTTTTTGTGCTAGCCAATCACATTTGATCACATGATTGGATTTTCCATGTTTTGCCGCGATATTTGAATATCGTCTGCTATTGTTTACAAATACAGACCCTCCGAGCGCTCAGCATCATTCCTTCGTAGCTGATTTCACAGTGAAGAAAGAAAGAAAAAAGAAGAAAGAAGAAGATGTCAGGAAATTTTTTTACGAGGATTTATTCCTCATCCCGGGGATTGTATTGGAGAATGTTTTAATACTGAGGAGACTGGACAATAATCGGGAACTCATGCAGATCAATTTGGCTAGATTCCAGGTCAACACCAACAGAGGGAGAAAGGCCCACCCTTACAGGAGGGAGACACCCCGATCGCCCCCACCGCCGCCACTCAGACCCCCTACACCCACCCCCCAGGTACAAGCCAGGAACCAGGGGCGGATTCCCCCCTGGGGGTTTGCCGTCTCCACCCGGGAGATATTATGTTCCCTTTGCATGACGGATGGGGAGCCAAGCAACTTTGTCCTGCATGTCTCTTGTGTGCTGCCCAGACCGTGGAGCGGGGTCTACCATGCCCCTTGTGTAGGAACAGCGAGCCGTTGGTGGTACCCTTAACAGAAGGTCAGACAGAGACGGAGATAGTTATTCCGACGAGGATGGTAATCAAGTAGGTCATGTAGTCCAGCGCCTACTGGCCCATTAGAAGGTACCGGGGGACCAAAACCTGAAACCAAAATGAAAAAAAAAAACAAAAATAAAAAACCAAAAAATTCCAAAAAAAAGCCCTTTTAAGGGCTGCCCAATTGTTTCGAAAAGATGCCTACTTTGACAGTCAAATGAGAAACGATTGTGTCTTAGAAAAAAGATCTTTTTTTTCCAAAATACTGTCAAAGAAACGATTATATCATAGAAAAAAAAGATGATCTTTTTTATACAGTCAAAGAAATGAAACGGTTGTGTGTTCAAAAAAGAAAAGAGTACCTTATACAGTCAAAAAGAAACATTCTGTGTGTGTTTCTCTCAAGTTATAACACCAGGTCACTTTTAAATTTTTATAACTTTTTTAAAAAACTTATAAATTTTTCTTTTTAAAACTTTTTTAATAATAATAATAAACCCTTAAAAAAAATTAAATTCACATCAAACATATATTTTTTTTTATTTTTTCATCAAACAATAACAACATACATAAATATATACACTTAATGGGGATGAAGAATGTACACCTGTTTGTCATAAGTGTGTACAAATTGTTCAATATAATGTCTATAATGAATCCAATTTCCTCCTGCTAACCCACATGCAATCTTGTAAGGAAAAGCATAAGTCTGGTTAGGTAAACTTTCCCCCATTTCTTGTAAACAAATTTGAAACCATTGCTCTCTGTTTTGTGGGGTATCCTGATAAGTGGAAATTCTTTTAGTTCGGTAACTTGCTTTTCCATAATCCCATTGAGCTAGTAAACAAATGACCACAGGGGTTTGTGAGGTAAACACCTTAATAGTGCCTGGAATTCCTCTATCTTCTTCTACAGCTAGATTTCTAGTCCCTAGAGGTCTGCGAGTGGCATAGAGATTAGCTTGTGGGAATTTCTCTGCAATACTTTGATTCAATCCATGAGCTTTTACAGTTAAACAATTACATTGATGAACAATAGCTTCTACCTCACAGTTAAGTAGTTCTCCTGTCCAGGGATGTCTTTCCTTTTGTATAATCAAATACTGGAAACCGAAGAAGAAATCATCTTGATGCTCAGAAACATGTCTATATCTTCTTCTTCTTCTTCTTTGGGCTCTTTAATGGTGAAAGTCCAATTAATGGCTATCCTGTAACTTCTGTCTGGAAATTTAGGATTCTTCACAGGCTCATGCAGGGGTAAATATTCATTCTTAGGTTCCGGATCCAGGGTTTTCAACTCTATTCGTCTTTGGTGAGGAGCTTTGTGATCCCCCTCCATAGGTTCCGTCATTCTCTTTTCTAATAAGGCAAATTTATCTTTATCCACCTTGCTTTCAATTTTAAATGTGCACTTTCTCAGCCATCAAACACAAGGCTTAAGTTTTTCAAATGTTCCTCAAAATCACGACTATATACAATTATATCGCCCAGATATAGTACTGCAATATGCCACTGTAATCCATACAAGGCTTGTTCTATCACTCTCTGGAAAGAAGCAGGGGTATTAAACAATCCAAAGGGCATTACTTTGTATTGAAATAATCCACTACGAGGGAGACCGAATGCCGTTTTCTCTTTATCACTTTCCAGACCCTCATTGGAATTTTGTGGTAAGCCATGTTAAGATCGTGCGAGGTAAACCATCTCGATCCAGCTAAATTTTCGAGATCATCGGCAATAGCCGCGTTTCGAGTTATGCCGGAACACCGTTTTCATTCGATTTTTACTCGCGCCTTAACTAAAATGTTCCTCATGGTAACTTCCGGTTTCATGACGTTTTCTTGAAATATCAAAACAAAAACATGAAAAAGCGGAATAGCATAGTAAATAATAAGAATTATGACTGAAGATGTGAATTTCTTTCCTCCTGGCTTGTTCCCGATTTGCAGAACTATCTCCAGGAAAAAGAAATTCAGTGAAGTATGGCGAGAAACTTGGATCTTACATGTAGTTCGTCTTTGTGAACTCGCTCACGAACTTAATCTTGGGCGTTGAGGTACACCAT